CTAAACTCAGAAACTCCCAACAAGTTTTTTGAGAGACTTTGTTTTAACATTCCAGCGACACAACAACGAGGCTCAGTGAAGGAAAAGAAGAACGTTTGTTAAAGTCTGGAGGCATTTTGGAAACTCCCTCCTCTATGCTGTTCAAGGCTGCGACTGTTAGCATCCAACTGCATTGCCGCTTCGATCGCATTAAAAAGCAAGTTATGTCCAAGATAAACGAAAGTCTGCAGCAGCGCAGATACCGCCCCATACCCCCTTTGTACCGCCATCACATACAATTTAGAAAAAAAGACATGATTGCGCCACGGTCCGACCACTTATAAACGACCTAAAGCTCGTAGATTCCACCACGGCATTGCAGCTAATTGACGGCATTGTTTTGTGAAAACGGCTATACTTTTACTTCCAGGCTCCGCCATGACGCCAAAAGAAAGAGCAAACTTCTTCTTTTTGTCCTTTTTATTGAAAATCGGTGAACTGAAAATGCTAACCACTAGCAATACAGCAAAACAGCTATAGAGCAGGTAAAGACACCTACCCAGTTCACAAAACGATAGTGCAGTTTTTGGTCAGCAGAGGAGTGAAGTGTGGTGTCAAATACTGGTCAAGTTTCCAACCCAACAACCACTGAGATCGATGTTTAAGCTCTAGATTAAAGTTTAAAAAATGTTACTTTCAAGCAGAAATCCAAAGGTTTTCTTAGAGAGATGGATCGTACCTTAAGCTCCTCTCCCTACTCGTGTGTTTATGGCTGGGAGCAACCTCTTATCGGTGAATGCATAACCTCTAGATGGCCAGCAGAGTAAAAACACATTGTTATAGAATTATTATTCTTTTGTTATGCTTTTTATTCATATATATAGATTTATTGTCCATAAGGAATGTTGCCAACTCTGCATGAGTCTACGTATGTCCTCAAACGCTCTGTGATTGACAGCTGTGGGTAAGTGGACGTCTAACGCTATTGGCTAATGCAGCACTGTGCTCAATTCAAATTGCATGGGGCTCTAAGGGACGGTGGCCGGGCTTAGCAAAAAAAAAAAAAGTATGTATTGCCAAATTATATCACAGTACAGGGTACTTTTACAGGTTTCTAAAAGTACATAGACAATTCTAGCTTAGAAATCAAGACCGACCATAACAGAAGCTCTGCATGTCAGTCTAGCATCGCTCCAATAGACCCTCAGCAGGTCTACCATTGGCCCGCACGGTTTGGTGTCCTGCCAATCTCAGCACTTTACGTTTGTTAGGTGGGCTTTGAACTGCAGCTGTGATGGAGATAAACTACAAAGATGGCATTGGCTCAGGAACACCGCTTGTTTGAAACAGCTTTGGAATCAACTGTAACCTATTTGTACTTTTCTTTGAGTAATGAACAGTTAGAATTTCTCAAGTTTTATTTTAAAAAAAGATGTATTTGCTTCTTCTTCTACTACTACTACTGTGTACGGTGGACTGCCCCATTGACTGATTGCTATAGCGATAAATATTTCACAGTGTCCATTGCTCTGATTGGTTTGCATGTGGAAAAGTTTGAAAGACAACCGTAGATTCCGCCCCACGACCGAGCTCTGTCTAGGGGTCATGGCCAGGCTATGGAGGCACATATATAGAATGATTCCTGAAAGGGTGGAAAACTCGGGATTGCTGCTTTAAAGCTGGAAGATGAGATCAAACTGGACCCACATCACAGCGACGAGGAGGCGAGGTGCTGATAGGAGGCTTGTTTACCCAAACACAGACTAAAATATGTGGAACTGATTCTCAAGATTACAGAACTGTTTAAACACAAAAACATTCAATAAAACTGATAGCATCCAGCTGCAGAGCAGAATTAAACCAGACGCCCGTCAGCAGAAGGTAACCAACAAATTTACAGGTGAAATTTTTATGTTTTTAGGAGAAAATTTAAAGACAAAATATCAGTCTGAACTAAAGTGCATGAGAAGTTTCTCTGACAGAGTTTGTTGATTAGAAGCAAAGGTCAATCGTCATATCTGATGTCCCATATAAAGATCATGAGCTGGGTTATAGATCACAGGTGGATCTACATCTGAATGTAAACAAACTGGTCCTTAAAGGGGCGTTGTGTAAAAACATAAGTAAGTTAAATCACTGCTTCCTGAACTCAAGGGCGTCAGTTTGTTTCCAGAATTGCTGGGGACAATAACCATACACTTGAGTGGGGTTTAAAAATTGCTGGGGACAATGTAGGCTAGCACAGGGGTCGGCAGCTCTGGAGCCGCATGCGGCTCTTCCATCCATCTGATGCGGCTCTGTGTTTGTAAAATAATGAATGGATATTTAAATAAAATGCTTTATATTTTACTGCATTAATTTTACATCTGTATGCCAATTCTAAATGTAAAGATTGTCTGCGTAAACCTGAACAGGTCCAACCCGGTCTTACTGTGAGACCGGGTTGACTTGACGCGTCACGCTTGTGCGTAATCATAGGCGCTTTATTAGCTGAAGACGATGTGAGATTCTGGGATTCTCCTCAGACGGCTCCTGGATGTGTCGCCACATTGGAGACAGGAACAAGCGCTATTCAGCCAAAGTTTCATCATCAGGGAACATTTTCTAAGTGACAAGTCTCTCTGAGAGACCGGGTTTGGAAAACACTCGCTTCAGTGGGAGGAACCTTCCCACATGCGCTCTGGGTGGCTCTGGGGTTAATCAAGTTTAATTGTTTCTCTTTGCAACAATCTTCACAAGAAGGCAAAACAGTTAAACGGCAGGTTACATATATTTCCATTTGACTGTTTATTTTGACAGATGAACTCAAGGATGTTGCTTGGTTTGAAAGAATTACCCCCACGCACACTGATGCACATGGATGAGCTGACATTTTAATCGTTAACGCACATTGCGGAGGTAAAATATTCCCATCAGAACATCAGAGCTTTATACTGGACACTGTGTTCAGCGCGGCTCGGAGCGCCCACGGTGGACAGTGAGCTGAAGATCTGAGGGGTTCGCAGCGCAGCGCAGAACCATGGTGCATGCAATGATTTCCTCCCACTGAAGCGGTCTGGAAACCCGGTCTCTCTGAGGGATGTGTCACTTGGAAAAATGTTCTTTTTATGAAATTATGAAACTAGCTGAACAGCGCTTGTTCCCGTCTCTAATATGGAGACGCATGATGCGTAGAGACATTTGATCACGCACAAAGTTCGTGTGGAGCAGAAGCGGTCGGGCCACGGCAGGTGAAATGTTCCTAGCCTACATGAAGGGAAACTGTTTAATTGTAACATTAATACGTTACTGGACATGCTGGTCTGGTTGGTTAGACCAGTGTTTGAAGTGGAAAACACACACACACACACACACACCAATTAAAATATATGCTGATAGCATGGACTAGAAGACAGGTGATGGTTTACGTATTTAAATGATGATCAGGCTGCTGTAAAATGTAATCTCCATCCACATCCAGACAGAATCATCCTCTATTCTGTCTCTATTTGCTCTGCTCTTGTCTGGGCTGATCAGCTGATGGTGCACCTAACTAGCGGCTGATGCACATTTTACGCATTTGGAGAGGTGGGCTGGATGCTGTGCGTTTACTGGAAGATGGTTAACGCACGGGTGTAGACTACATATTAATGACAAATGAATGAAAATTAAATTGTGAGTTTTTACTTCATATTTTATAAATAAAAATGACGGGGGAAAACATTTATGACGTCTTTTTAAACTAAATTTTCTAGCGCGACCTGCCTGCTTCACTTAAGTCACTGCTTATTAAGGTCCGTCCAGAATTACTGTGGGAAACGGGTAATAATGGCTCTTTGATGGGAATAGGTTGCCGACCCCTGGATAAGATCTGAGCTGGTAAAAAAAAATCCTCATCAGCAGGCGTTTTTGAAAGTGGGGGGGACACAGCTGCCAATCACAAATTTTGCCGGGGACATGTCCCCGGCGTCCCCGGTTAAAATGACGCCTATGCCTGAACTGGATGAGCAGCACACGAGGTCTTAACTCATACTAGCTGTCATCCCAGAAGACCATGAACTCGGTTTCTCTGAACTGAGGCTTTTCAGTAATTATTCACAAGTTAAAAAAACTACTTGAAATGTCCCGGGGGGGGGAAGACACGTGGGGGTGAAAAAACTGTAGATGGGTCCAGATAAATCCTGAACCAGGACCTGATGCCCCTTTCTGGCTCATCACTTGAGTTTAGCTTTTATAAATCCACTGAAAATGATCAGAAACTGGTGGGAACGTAGAAGAAGAGTTTCAAGACAAACTCGGAGCTTCAGAACGACTGGAGCAACCTGAGGACCACGCGCCTCCCAGCTCCTTACCTCCGTCAGGTTCCCTTCCTTCTTCTCATCCTCATGATGGTGAACGGACATCGGCAGAAAGTCTTCTTCACAGCAGATGAAGCTCACCGTGCATCCCATCAGCGGTCCGACTCGGTTCGGTTGGGTTTCCTCTCCCGCTGCTGTCGGTACGGGTCAGAACTTTCGGAGCATTCCGGGTGTTAACCCCCCGCAGGCTGACGCCTCTCCACTGGCATCGCTTCAGAAGTTCGACTCTGGTTCTGGACCCGTGTCCCTGATGGAGGACAGACTCTGGTCTAACAGGTACGTCCTCAGCGTCTATCACCTACTCACCTTTACGTCCGACTCCACACAGCGTCCTCTGATTGGTGGGTTGAACTGTCATTCAAACCCTGACTGCACGTTCCGCCTGCAGCTTCATCTATGGTGGAAATGTTCTGTGTTGAATTTGTGAAGTAAAAGAAAATGATTTTATTTGGTATTTTTCATATCTGATCTACTCAGATCCTAAATGACCTCCAGGCTCAGAACTTTTTTTACTCCGGTCAGCTAGAACTGCTTCCTGTGAGGTGATGTCGCCCCCTGCTGGAGGATTGTCAAAGTGGCGCAAAGATTAAAAAAATCTTTTTCTACAGGCAAACCTAAATAGAGAAGAACTTCCTGTATATCCTTCACAATAAAAGTCTAATACACAAAACACATGAAACTTTAGAACTTTCGCATGTTTATTCACTCTGAAGAAATAAATCAGAAAGCAGAATTCATTTACATTTTATTATTCTGAATCTCATCCACTTATGCACTTTAACTGTAAATCATCATATATGCATTTTTTGACTGGACAACTTGATTATAACGTCACAAAAATGTTTTTAGAAACAAACAAAACGATTCGGTTCTTATTCCAGCCTCTTTGCCAACTACCATTGCTACCAAAACACACCTGATTTTTCATAAATAGGAACAATTTTGATGCTTTCTGGTGTGTAAACCTGATCTCTTCATCCTCTGTCCACAAAGTGCAGATTGAGTTTCTTGTCTGGAACCAGAACGGTGCGATTGATGCTCTTTAAGTCTCCAGTTCGGGGGTTTGCTTTAACTTCAAACTGACGAATTAGCTGAAAAAGGCATGCGGAGTAAAGTATAATGCAAAACATTTATTCGATTAAAAAAATTTTTTTACCACTTTGCTGCTCAGATGAAGCAGTTAGTACAGTCCTATTGGGAACCGAGCACATCACTCCTATTCTTAGGTCTCTACTTTGTTACCAGTAAACTACAGAATTAACTTCTAGTTTATAAATCACTCAATGACATGGGGCCAGAATACAAGTTGGAGGTCCTTCCTGTATCTACGCCCAGCAGGGCTCTGAGGTCCTTAGGAAACAGTCAGCTGGTAGAACCTCGAGTCAGAACCAAACAGGATGAAGCTGCTTTTAGCTACTATGCTGATGGAATCAGCATCCACATGAACAGAAATTTGCCCCAACTAACTTTTAAATCTAAATTGAAAACTTTCATGTATTCATTGGCCTTTGAATGAATGTTTCTTATGCTGCACCTTCTGCACTGTAACTGCTCACCCTTTAACTTTGTCTCTTTCTTTTTAATATTTAAATCTAAATATAATTTGTGTGTATTTTAATTTTGCTGTCACATTGATTCTAATGTTCTTGCTAATTGGAAAGCACATTGAATTGCCTCTGTGTATGAAATGTGCAATAAATAAAGCCTATTGTTATTCCGTCCACTTGGTAGAACCCACCATTACTACAGCATGATGCTACCTCCACCATGCTTGACAGGAAACTGTGTTTCTTGGTTTGAAACGCTCACCAGGATTCCTGTTTGTGTCCAAACAACTCAGTGTTCATGTCTGGTTATTTTCTCTGAACTCACCTGAAACAGAACCAGATACATCTCCAGTTCAGCGATCCGACGACCAACACAGCCTCTCACCCCAAAGCCAAACGGGATGGATCCGAATGGGTTCGGCTTCTGGCGCCCATCACGGAGCCACCTTTCCGGCTTAAACGTGAACGGCTCTGGGAAGACATCTTGGTCGTAGCTCATAGCGTAGTGAGAAAACCCGAAGGAAGTCTGAGAAAACAAAAGACAAAATAATGGAATTCCAATAATAAAAACTCTAGCAGCTCTACTTTAATCCTCTAAGAAAATTAAGTCATTAACAACAAGCATTACATCAAAAACATAAAATCTGACCCACTTTTTCCGGAAACAGGTATCCGCCAACAGAAACGGGCCTTTCTGTCATGTGTCTGCCATTCATGGGAACCACAGGGTACATCCTGTAAAACAGCACCAAGGCTTTTAAAGAAGAGGAAGGCTCAAATTGGAATAAAAGTCTCTGACAATCATACCTGAGTGTTTCCCTGATAACAGCCCTTAAATAAGGTAACCGGGTGACTTCTGCAGCGGTGGGGATCTGGTCGGCTGGGAGAGACGTGGACACTTCTTCGTAAAGTCTGTCCTGGACCTTAGGGTTCTTAGACAGCTGGTACAAGGTCCATGTGAGGGTGTTGGAGGTCTTTCAAACAAAAGTCAAAACACAATAACAAAGTTCAGCGATAACTTGGTCAGTTTTACAGCTATTGGTCTAAAATTCTGTGTATTGGTAATTGAGAGTCATCCTCAATCCTAACTCAAAGCTCCAACTGATGGAACGAGACCTTCGCTTTAAACCTTGGTTGTAAAAGCAGTCACCACCAACATTATTCTAGACGTTGTGTAGGAGGCTGATTTACCGTGTCCACTCCAGCTAAGAGTAGCTCGGTGATGCTGGCGTACACGTCTTTAGCGCTCATCTGAGTGTAAGAGAGGAGGTAGGTCAGGTATCCCCCCTGAACATCCTGGTCTTTATCCAGTCGCTGCTGAATGTCCTCCATCTTCTTGTTGATTAACGTTTTAGCTGGAGAGAAAGGAGGAATGAAGGGATCAGGAGGTTTTCACCTTTGAATTAGATTCTCTCATTTACACTTAACACTAAAACACCTAAAAAGAGCTTTAAAAAGATCCTACATATTTGGTGGTCCAACCTAGGAAAACCCAGATAAGTGGTTGGGTTTTTTATGTGCAAAGAGCATGGTTCTTAGAATGAGATATGGACCTTATTCTAAAATAGTGAAATTCTTTCTCATTCCACCAGGCTTCGGATGTGATGGAGGTTAGATCCCTGGTCCTCAGGGGGCTTCCAGTCATTCTCGGTGATGATCCATCTGCCTTCTTCAAGGCCTGCTTTGTGAGGAACTTACTTTTTTTTTTTTACCTAATGTCACGCCATTCCCGCGTTACACGTTTAATATTTTATCCTCATTCCCCCAATGTCCCTTCTGCTCTCTCTGCCTTGCTGTCTAGCTCCCCTTCTCGCTCTCTACAATTTTGGGTTAGAATTACTTTTTTTCTGTTATTGTCATTAATTAACTCTTTAGGTGCTACAGTTGCTTAAGAAAATATTATTCATTCAAAATAATATTCATTAAATATTTTTTCATATCATTGTATGTAACAGGTTGAATGTGGTTAGTTAAAGGCATACTGTAAATTTGAAAAATCATTATTACTCAAAGTTTGTAATCGGAGGAAATTTACGTTTCTAATTTGTCTTTAGTGAGGCTGTCGGTTTGCAGTCAAACAGTCAGTTAATTTGAGGGAATTGGAATTGAGCCATTTTTCCATGAGAAATTGGTCTTATCCACCAATCTATTTTATTAAGTACTTGAAAACCCAGTTATAATGTGAATATTTTTTAAACAATTGTGTCATAACAGGTATCCTCTTTTTTATTTTTATTTATTTATTTATCTATTTATTTATTTTTACAAAATTAAAGAAATGAAAGTCTGGAAGAAGAAATGTGATTTTGTAGTTCAAACAGCAATGCTTATGTTCATTTATATTTGAGGAAGTTACCTCAAGTTTGGTGAGTATTCATATCGATGTTCTTAATAAAAATTAAAACATTGAATTAATTGGCTGTCAGTTATAAAATAAATGGGATAGACCAAAAAATCGATATTGACAGTTAAGGTTGTCTAATGATCGGTGATCAGCCAGAAAACTGCAATCGGTGCATCCCTGTCTGTCACCATTAGTTTTGTTTTGACCACCCCTGTTAGCCCTATCATGTACCTTCCTTCCCACCCTGGATGTGGTGAAACAAAGTATTGGGCATAATATGTGCTTCTTGGTGAATGTCGAGGCGAGTTGGACTCACTGTAACTGCGCCCAAAAAGCACCTCACTTTGTTTCTCCTTGGACAACTGAATATCAAAGGGGGATTATTTCTCTTTAGACACCTATTACTTTAAAGACCCACTCCAATGAAAATCTTTTTTTCTGTTCTTAACGTTTTTATTTATTTCATTTTTTTTTTTTTGCATTTTTTTTTCTATATGACATATGTGAAGAAAATTAAGTTCAAAATTGCATTTGAGTATTTCTGCATTCAAATTGCCGGGAATCTGTAGCAGACCAAAAAAGTCAGACTAAAGCTGCTGGTGTTTGTGATGTCACATTCCTCCTGGGCGGAGCCTAAACTCCACTCCTGCCCACTCAGGCTCTGAGGAAATGTTTCCAAGGTTCAAAAGGTTCCGTTCCCAACCCAGGGGATAATTTCTAATGAACTAATGCTGCTGTTTTTAAAAAATACTAGAAAACACCACAGGTGTTGGTGATTTTCGCGATAAATGGAATAATAATAAGACCACAGAGAATAATTTAAAACAAATAAAAATGGTAGTTGGAGGAGGTCTTTGCGAAGGGCTTTCTCAGTAATGAATCGGCCTTTCGGCATCATGGCAGGGGTTACACACCCAAAAATGTTGCACAGACTGTAGTTACAGCTACAGATGTCTGCCATCTTCTGGTGTAAATCAGTAACTACATGAGGGACAACACTTGTTGCTTTAGTTTGTCACCAGTATCGCACTGTTTCGTA